TGAACCACCTGTGGACAAGTCGGGCTGGCACCTGGATTTTCCTCATAGGTCAGAGATGCCCGAAGAGTCACAGCCCCCTTACCAGCACAGACTTTAGCAGGGTCCAGGTCTACAGGAAAACACACAATATATAGCAGACGAGTTGAGAGAAATGTCAAAGCACGTCACGCTAGAGCAAGAAGTTGCCATCATTTTAGCACAGCTGCCTTTGAGCAAATGGATGCGGAGGTAAATTAGCGGAGGTAAATTAGATTCCAGATGCTGAGGTAAATTAATTCTAAGCTTTAAAAAACAATGAGGTTATTTACGGACATGTGAGAGCCAAAATTTCCAGAGTCAGTCAATGCAAGTACAAAGAGGATAACAAGACAAAACAAGAACCTGTGGAAATTAGGTCCCACAGACGACTTCTCTATATGACAAATATCAGCCAGCTAATATTACTCTGGAGCTGTGGTGGCTCAAGGGGTTAAGGCGCTGAACTGCAGGCTGTGGAAGGTTGGTCGTTTGGCAGTTCGAGACCCGAGTGTGCCGCATGACGGAGTGAGCTCCCATCTCTAGTTCCAGCTCCTGCCAGCCTAGCAGTTCAAAAAGCAAGAAATTGCAAGTAGATAAATAGGGACCACTTCGGTGGGAAGGTAACAGCGTTCCGTGCGCCTTCGTGTTTAGTCATGCCGGCCACATGACCACATGACCACATTTCTCTTATAATGCTTAAATTATTCTTAAAATATAGTTTAAATATAATTTAAAAATAATTTATGGTGAGATTTTTACAAGGTTATGGAAGTCATCTTCTAAAAATCTAATTTACACAATACTCAAATGCAGACTCACTCACAACTTTAAAGCTACTAGATTTTTTTGCTCATGAGGCAGAATTTCTGCTCACAACACTGTGGGGCTTAGAGGGAACATTGGTCTATAGTCCTGCACGTAGCTTGCTATCAGTAGGATCTCATTATGTAATTTTGCACCATTTCATGTGTGGTGTTCTGCTTTGGTTCTGTTCTGTTTTAAATACTTCTGGTCATTTCTACAACCCAAATTCTATTCCACCGTTTACTAAACATCTCGTCCTGCCGATTGTCTTGACTTACTCTCTGTAATCCACCGGGGGGGAAGATGGTCCTTCAGATATGGTCCCAAGCCACACGAGGCTTTAAGTATCTTTAGTGTCTTTTCTGCTACTATCCTCAGTGATAAATAAGACCACATTTGCCCATCTACCCAGTCCAGATACACAGGCATATAAAATAAAAAGAAGAGAAGAAGTGATTGGATTTATACCCCGCCCTTCACTACCCAAAGGAGTCTCAGAGCGGTTTACAATTCCTTTTCCTTCCCCTCCCCACAACAGACACCCTGGGAGGTTGCGGGGGGGCTGAGAGAGCTCTCCCGAGAACTGCCCTTGAGAGAACAGCTCTGAAAGAACTTATGACTGACCCAAGATCACACCAGCAGCTGTGAGTGAAGGAGTGGGGAATCAAACCCGGTTCTCCCAGATTAGAATCTATGCTCTTAACCACTACACCAAACTGTCATTGGACATGGATATCACTTTTGCAAGTGATTGTGCTGCTGAACAAACAGTGTTTGGAAACACACCTATCAAGGTTTGAAAATCCTAAACCATCAGATTTCAGTTCCTCCTCTAAATGACAGAACTAGACGTAATATTTAAATATTTGACCCTAACGCTACAACTGTAGAACTGCCTTCTGATGAAGAGAGCTTTCACTCGTGAAAGTTCATGCCCCAAAAATCTTGTTGCTCACTAAGGTGATCCCGGACTCGAATCCAGATGTTCTACTGCAAACCAACATGGCTCCCCTCCGAAACGATCTACATGCCTGGTGAGTTATCGAAGGCTTATTCTGCATAAAATGCAGGCTGTTGGGGCTCATCGAACTAACAACATTCAGATTCAGTTTTTTGGAACTTTGAGCATTTCTAAAATGTGTTTTTGAAATCTACTTTTTAAGAGACTCTCTTTGAAAACTTAGTTTTTCCAGACTTGTTGATTCATTTTAGGGCAATGTTTTTACATGTCCTGTTATGTATTGTTACTGCGCCTGAGCTTCGTGCCCAGCTTCATAGTCTGCAAGGATCCTGAGATCTTCCTTTTAATTGGCTGTTCGAGCATAGAAGGCCAATCAGGAGATGAGATAGTTTGGGAGGGGATTACTGTTATTGGTTCTCAACATGAAGAGGTATTTGTATTGAATGCAGCTGATGCCTGAGCCTTGTGTTAGATACCATTGCTTGCTAGGATTATGTAGCACCTGCTCTGATTGGCAGCCTAAATTGGCAGTCCGATCAGGGAAGACTAGAGTGAAGCAGGAAATGCAAATAAGCTATTCTGTAGTGTCCATTATGATTGGTTATTACTGTTTTAGGAGGTGTGGTTTTGACTGCTCTTGACTGTATATAAGTGGGGTCTGTTGCTGGGTTAGTTGTTGTTTTCTGAGCTGAATAAAAGACATCATCACTGAGGAATTTCACATTACCCTTTGTAACCAGTTTTGAATCCGTCGTGGAGTAAACCGGTATAGGGCTGCCATTTCACACATGGCTTTCCCCTTCCGGTAAAGAGCTGGATCTGAAGGGGTTTGCCATTTCAGACTGCACCGCTTTCCCCCCGCTGTTTTTTGACCATGTGGGCGATCTCCGGCTTTTTTTTTTTGAACATTTGCTTTAGAGCGCTATAGCGCTATAGCACTATAACAAAACACTCCAGGCATTCCAACAGGGTTGATATAATGTCATTGCGTTATAGCGCTATAACACTATAAAGCAAACGTTCCCCCCCCAAAAAAGCCGGAGATCGCGCAGGCGAAAAACAGCGGCAAAAAGCGCATCGGAACCGGGAGAGGAAACTGAAGACTACTTGGAAGCGGTTGACAGGCAAAACGCTTCAGCCCCGTTTCCTAAACGGGACAGAAGCGTTTGTGTCTGAAATTACAAATATATTCCGGTAGGGAACCGGTTCTAAAACGATTCTGTCTGAAATGACAGACCAGAAACCGTTTGGGAACCGTTCCTCTTCCGGATTATACCGTCTGTCTGAAATTCCTCACTGTTCTGAGAAAGAGATGCCTCAAGCCCAGTTTATAATACATCCATCTGCCAGTTCCAATAGTCTTAAAAGAAGAATCTTTGGCTCGATTAAGATATCTCATTTAACTATGATTAATGAAATTTAACCCAAGAGAGGAGGAGGAGGAGATTGGATTTATACACTGCCCTTCACTACCCAAAGGTGTCTCAGAGCGGCTTACAAACTCCTTTCCCTTCCCCTCCCCACAACAGACACCCTGTGAGGTGGGTGGGGCTGAGAGAGCTCTTGACAGAAACGGCTCTTTTTCAAGAACAGCTCTTATCAGTGCTACGGCTTGCCCAAGGTCATCCAGCCAGGTGCAAGTGGAAGAAGAAGAAGAGATTGGATTTATACCCTGCCCTTCACTACCCAAGGGAGTCTCAGAGCGGCTTACAAACTCCTTCTCCTTCCCCTCCCCACAACAGACACCCTGTGAGGTAGGTGGGGCTGAGAGAGCTCTTGACAGAAACTGCTCTTTTCAAGAACAGCTCTTATCAGTGCTACGGCTCGCCCAAGGTCATCCAGCCAGGTGCAAGTGGAAGAAGAAGAAGAGATTGGATTTATACCCTGCCCTTCACTACCCAAGGGAGTCTCAGAGCGGCTTACAAACTCCTTCTCCTTCCCCTCCCCACAACAGACACCCTGTGAGGTAGGTGGGGCTGAGAGAGCTCTTGACAGAAACTGCTCTTTTCAAGAACAGCTCTTATCAGAACTACGGCTCGCCCAAGGTCATCCAGCCAGGTGCAAGTGGAGGAGTGGGGAATCAAACCCGGTTCTCCCAGATTAGAGTCCGTGCACTTAACCACTACACCAAACCAGTATTTCTTACATGTTGTCTTCCTTGTCAATCATGGTTCACAGTCAGTATGCAAATCAGAACTGGGAAACATGCTTTGACACCGTTCCCAAACCACAATTTGGCAGAAGAAAACCACAGTTACACCCTGTGCTCTGACTCCACAAGCTCCAGCCCAACAGAGATGCAAAGAAGACAGATCGAAAAAGAAAACCAGTAAGCACGTCAACCAATGGTTTGGGTTTCTAAAGCACAGTTTAACATAAACCATTAGTCTGGCCGTGTGCATGAACAGAACCTCTCTCCTGGGAGCAGGGAGATACCAAGTTCACAAATGAACAGGGGTCCTTCTGGCTTAACCCCCCCTTTTCTACACTCAGAAGAACAAGGAAGGGGCGAGCTGTTCCTGATTCCCTCCCCCCAAACAGCGTTCCAATAATGAAGCATCACCTTGTGGACAAACATCCACCATATTAAGAAGTTAGGTGGCCTTATTTGTGCATTTGAAGAAACTAGGATTTTGTCTGATTCAGAATGGAAGGTTGATTGTGCTGATTTATTAAATCTGATGCCTGAGAGAAAAGACTGTCCCAGGAAGGCTGTATGAATCTATCACAGCGGCAGCAAGAATTTCTTACTTGAAACTAAAATAACGCAAGCACTAGTCCAAGACCTGCAGTCTGAGAGGATCTTTGGGCCAAGAACAAAAATATGCTTTAGAAGATGATCATTCGATTACTGGAGAAACACCAAGACATTAATTTCTATTACAAGCTGGAAATGAGGTTAAAGTTCAGCAGAATGACCCGGACAGATGCCCAACGCACAAAACCTGCTTGATTCAATCATAAAATTGTTTATAATAGGACTGAAATTATATCAAACCAACTTCTGGACCGCAGAGGGTATCAAATGAAGTCAACTGATTCCAACAAGGATGGCTCATTCCTCAAAATCAAAACAAGACAAAACAAACAATGCAGATTCACTGACATCACAGCTGTTGTGGAAACGATGAAATTCTGCTCTCAAATTACTTTGAAACCCCCCCTTAAATTAAATCTTTCATTTCTACAATGCCTAAGAAGTCTATTTCTCTACTTAAAGCATACATATTCATCATCCTTTGGCTTGCTCACAACTTTAATACCAGTAGCTCACAAAGTAGAATTTTTGCTCACGAGACTCCACAGCTTAGAGGGAACATTGTGGAAACGATGAAATTCTGCTCTCAGATTACTTTGAACCCCCCCCTTAAATTAAATCTTTAATTTCTACGCCTAAGAAGCTTATTTCTCTACTTAAAGCATACTTATTCATCATCCTCCTTTTCATACTGTGATTTAAGATTATCTTTAAATGATCATTTGTTAAGTTCATTATACCATTTAGAATCACTGTATATGTTGTTACATTTAGTGAAAGAGTACCTAGCAGTTCGAAAGCAAGAAATTGCAAGTAGATAAATAGGTACCACTTCGGTGGGAAGGTAACAGCGTTCCGTGCGCCTTGGTGTTTAGTCATGCCGGCCACATGACCACGGAAACGTCTTCAGACAGCGCTGGCTCTTCGGCTTTGAAACGGAGATGAGCACCGCAACCCTAGAGTCGGATTCGACTGGCTTTCGAGCAAGGGAACCTTTACCTATATATATGTGTCTGTGTGTGTGAGTGTGTGTGTGTATATTTCCGCCCCTCTGGTTTCTGATTTAAGAGACTCTTTGAAGGAGGCAACTGGTACCATGAAATACTATGAAATTGGAAGAACTACAAAGCAATGGAAGCAAGATGAAGCGGGAAAGCTATTCTAGCAACAAGTGGATGAACAGCCAAGGCTTGAGAAGAACATTTGGAAAAAAAGGAGATACCTGTCGGCAACACTAGACCAGGAGAACTTTTCACTTTCTTCACAGGGATTATTTTAACAGCAGAAACAGAGCGTGAACATAAAGGGACATCATTCGCTGCAAACATAAAAGTACAGAAGATGGTGCATCCGGAAGCGAAGAACATCAGTTTGGGAACAAACATGCCAGAAACTTTCCTAACCGCATCGAGAACTTGGCAGTTGACAATAGCAGGAAATTTCATAGGCAAGTAGGGTGAGGGGGGGGGGGGGGAGAGTGATATCATCACTAAAGAATAGAGCTTTCTGCTGCCTCCGATTCACTATGGGCATATTATGGAGAATGCAGCACCGCTGTCCGAAGCAATTAGTTCTTGGCTGCCAATGTGTAAAGCACCTTCAATGGTATTTTATCAACAATACTGGCTAAAATTTTAACTTTGATGAAGCAGGGTATGTTACAAGCTCCCTGCTCCACCCCAAGAGACTTAAAAAGTTACAGCTCTCAAAATTCTGCAGTGGCGCTGACTTCAGAAATATAAATGTGAAGTATATTCAGGGGTCATTTCCTGCCGGAGCGCCCCAGAGCAGCGCTCCGGCAGAAAGCGGGATTTAAATGCCTGGGTTCCGTGCCACGGTATAGGTGCTGCACCAACCTTTGCGCCAAGGCGTGGTTTTGCCTCCTCCTTGCCGAGCCAGTGAAAAAGCAAAAGCTCTGGCTAATCAGGCAACAATGAATGCAGGCCCAACAGGGCCGTCCTGAGCAAAATTACCCCCTTCGGAGACTTCAGTGGACTTAGGAAGGCACAGGTCTGCTCAGGATGTCCTCGCCAGGCCACAGGCGCTCCACGTGCAGCACAAGGCACACCGGAAACATTCCGCAGAGGGACTTCAGTGCCCATTTGTTCCACCGGGCCTTTGCCCGTGACTTAATGGTGCTGCTGCTATTCATTCATTTATTTTTATTTAAAATGTCTGTATGCCGTCTTTCCACCCAGTTTCGGCCCTCAAGGCAGCAAACAATTAAAAGAGATTAAAAATAATCTTTTAAAAACAATGCATGTATATAAAGCTTGCCAAGTCCCCCCGGGGGGCGGGGAAACCCCCACCCCAGAGGCCCGTTCCCCACCGCCGGTGGATAAGGGCCCGGGGGGAACCCCACCCCCAAAGTACGTGATGTGCACGTCACCCGGAAGTGACGCGACCACGCCGGGCACGCTGGGAGCGGGTCCACGGACATCCGAGGGAAAACTCTATGGTTTTCCCTTGGATGGTCGCGTCGCTTCCGGGTGATGTGGTTGCGGCGCGCGCGCCCTCCAGGACCGAGCCGGGAGTCCCCCGCTGTAGCAACAGGTAGGACTTGGCAACCCTATACGTATATCTAAAACTAGCAACTCGCAGCAGGACAAGGAGGAGGGTCAGTAAAAGGATGCCAGGTGAAACAGAACAGTCGTCACCATCTAACTGGAGATGAGGGAGGACAGATGCATCTCCCAGGTTGCTGTCGTACACTGCAGGCAGTAAGATGAATTCCTTAAAATGGGATGGCTTCTATTTTTTATGACGTGTAACCGTTTCGAGCACACTTAACTATTAAACCAAGCAAGCAAACCAGCAAACCGACCCCCAGCCGTCCGTGCTGCTTGTGGGTCTCACACTCCAGGTCACCCCTCATAGAACCATAGAATGTTAGAGTTGGAAGGGACCTTGCAGGGTCATCTAGTCCAACCCCCTGTAGCACCAGATGCCATCTAGGATGAGATGGATCTTAATTTTCTGGCACGGCAGGGGCAGCCAAGGTGCTCCATCCAGAGGATTCAGAGCCTCCCCAAGCACCTCTAACTAGCTCTGGCAAGCTTCTGATTGGCTCGGAGCAAGCGTCATGGTTTGTCTGCTGTGGGCCATTTCCTGTGTCAAGTTCTGAGGGAAACATGAAGACGGCTTTAGTCACCTTAATGCCACCAGTGCCTGTTCTTGTGCCCTTGGGATCTGATGTGAATGGCTTTCGTTCTGCAGAGTCCCCATTCTGATGAGCACGAAGACGCCAATTTTATTTCAATTTACCTGCTTCGAGAATTAATTTTTCATACTGACAGCGGCTTGCAAGTAGAGATGTAAAATTTCCGGAAATTTTGAAAGTCGGGAAAAAAACCCGTTTTTTCCCCAGTTTTTTTCAGGAAAAAATGGAAATTTTCGGAAAAATTGAAAAAAAATGCTACATTAGCATTTCTTTTGTCTTTTCCAGATTGAAAGTCATTCTGTTACTTTAGGAACATAAAATATGACTATGGACATTTTTACTTGGCATGAAATTATCACAACTAGCTTATTAAAAATACAGTGTATCCAAACAATTATTACAAACAGAATACCCACCCGCATGCAAAAACAAAACTGAAACCTTTTTCTTTTCTTGTGACAACAGCACCTCCTAAAGGAAGAAATCCATCTTGTTCTTGCATTGGAGAGTTCAGTTTGTAACCTAGGACTTGCTTGTCCTCAGTGCACAGAAATTAGATCAATCTGATACCATATATATATA